GGACCCCCCTGGTTTGGGACCCCCCCCATGAAGGATGAAGGGGGGGGAACCCCAAAAAGGGGGGGAGGGGATGTGGGGACCCCAAAATGGGGGGGGGCAAGGACCCGGGGACCCCCAAAATGGGGGGGACAGAGACACCCAAAGACCCCCAAAATGGGGGGGGATGTTGAGGACGCCCGGGGACCCCCAAGACCCCCAAAATTGGGGGGACAAGGACACCTGAAGACCCCCAAAATTGGGGGGACAAGGACACCTGAAGACCCCCAAAATTGGGGGGACAAGGACACCAGAAGACCCCAAGACCCCAAATTTGGGGGAGAGGGGAACCTGGAGACCCCCAAGACCCCCAAAATGGGGGGACAAGGACACCCCAAGACCCTGAAAGCCCCCTCGGGACCCCCCAAAAGCGCAGCACAAAGATCACCCCGAGCTCCGCGCTGGGGGGGGGACACCCCAAAACCCCCGGGGCAGGGGAGTGACCCCAAAACCCCCGGGACAGGGAGGTGACCCCAAAACCCTCCGGGACAGGGGAGTGACCCCAAACCCCCTGAGATAGCGGGGTGACCCCAAAACCCCCCGGGACAGGGGAGTGACCCCAAAACCCCCCGGGACAGGTGGGTGACCCCAAAACCCCCGGGACAGGGGAGTGACCCCAAACCCCCTGAGATAGCGGGGTGACCCCAAAACCCCTCGGAGCTCCGAGACTGGGGACAAGGACACCCCAAAACCCCCTGAGATAGCGGGGTGACCCCAAAACCCCCCGGGACAGGTGGGTGACCCCAAAACCCCTCGGAGCTCCGAGATCGGAGACAGGGACACCCCAAAACCCTCCGGGACCCCCAAAATGGGAGGGGTCAAGGACACCTCAAAATCCCCCGGGACGGCGGGGTGACCCCAAAACCTCTCAGAGCTCCGAGACTGGGCACAGGGACACCCCAAAATCCCCCAGGAGAGCAGGGTGACCCCAAAACCCCTCGGAGCTCCGAGATCGGGGACAGGAACACCCCAAAACCCCCTGAGACAGGCAGGGTGACCCCAAAAGCCCCCGGGACAGCGGGGTGACCCCAAAACCCCTCGGAGCTCTGAGACCGGGCACAGGGACACCCCAAAACCCCCTGAGACAGGCAGGGTGACCCCAAAACCCCCCGGATGGCAGGGACACCCCAAAACCCCCCCGAGGAGGGTGTTCCAGGGGGTCTCCCCCGAGTCCGCGGCCCCCGGGCGGGTTTTGGGGGGCCCTAGGGGGGCAGGATCTGCTCCAGGAGGGGTTTGGAGGCCGGGGGGATCCTGTCGGGGAACTTGACCTCGAACTCGATGACGAGGTCGCCGCGCTGCTCGGGGGAGCGGGGGAAGGGCAGCCCCTCCCCCGGCACGCGGCGCTTGACCCCCGGCTTGAGCACGTCCTGGAACACCATGGGGATGGAGCGGCCGTCCAGCGTGGGGACGGTCACCGTGCAGCCACACAGAGCCTGGGGACACGGGGACACGTCAGGGACACGGGGACACGGGGACACGTCAGGGACAAGGGACATGGGACAGGTCTGTGTGTCAGGGACACGGGGACATTGGGACAGGGGACATGGGGACAGGGGACACATGGACAGGTCAGTGACGGGGACACGGGACAGGTCAGGGACAGGGTGGCCAGGTCAGTGCTGGGCCAAGGGGCACCCCCAGCATGGCCCCACCACCCAGAGTGACCCCTGAGTGACCCCAGAGTGACCCAAAGTGACCCCAGAGTGACCCAAAGTGACCCCACAGTGACCCCTGAGTGACCCCACAGTGACCCAAAGTGACCCCAGAGTGACCCAAAGTGACCCCACAGTGACCCCTGAGTGACCCCACAGTGACCCAAAGTGACCCCAGAGTGACCCAAAGTGACCCCAGAGTGACCCACAGTGACCCCCCGCCATCCATCGTGTCCTGCCACCCCCCAGAGTGACCCCCCCACTGTGTCCCCCCACCCAAGCTGACCCGCCTGTGACGTCCCCCCGATGTCTCCACCAAGACCAGCCCACCCACAATGTCCCCATCCAGACCAAGGGCCCCGCTGTCCCCACCGAGGCTGGCCACTGCCACCACCGCCACCACTGCCACCACCATCACTGCCACCAACACCACTGCCACCACTGCCACCACTGCCACCACCACTGCCACCACTGCCACCACTGCCACCACCAACACCACTGTCACCACTGCCACCAACACCACCACCAACACCACCACTGTCAGCACTGCCACCACCACTGCCACCACCGCCACCACCCCAGACCAGCCCCAGTGTCCCTCCAGGAGCAGCCCTGTCCTGATGTTGATGTCCCCCCAGCGCCACCAACCCAACCCTGGTGTCCCCAACACCACCCAGACCAGCCCTGATGTCCCCATGGCCACCAAGCCACCCCCGATGTCCCCATGGCCACCCGTCACCCCTGATGTCCCCACCAAGACCAACCCAGCTCAGTGTCCCTGTCTGATGTCCCCATCTGACATCCCCCCAAGCCCACCCCATCTCCAATGTCCCCACTGCCACCTATCTCCAATGTCCCCACCAAGCCCACCCAGCCGTCCCCTGATGTCCACACCAAGCCCACCCAACCCCTGATGTCCCCAGCAAGACCACACAACCCTTAATGTCCCCAAGATGACCCCATCTCCAGTGTCCCCATCAAGCCCACCAACCCAAATGTCCCCACCAAGGCCACCCACCCCTTGATGTCCCCACCAGGACCACCCCATGTCCAACATCCCCACCAAGCCCCCCCAGCCCTGATGTCCCCAAGCCCACCCCATCTCCAACACCCCCCCAAGACCACCCATCCCCTGACGTCCCCACCAAGACCACCCATCTCCAATGTTCCCACTAACACCGTCTTGATGTCCCCACCAAGCTCACCCCACCTCCAACATCCCCACTGAGACCACCCAGCCCCTGACGTCCCCACCAAGACCAACCCATCCTCAAGGTCCCCACTGCCACCCACCCCCAATGTCCCCACCAAGACCACCCCAGCCCCAATGTCCCCACTGCCACCTACCCCAATGTCCCCCCCAAGCCCACCCAGCCCTTGATGTCCCCACCAAGATCAACCAAGCCCACCCACCCCTTGATGTCCCACCCAGCCCAGTGTCCCCCCAGGCACCGCGCCGCCCCCGCCCACCTGGCGCAGGCTGATCTTGGCCGGGTAGACGATGTCGGAGCCGTCGCGGCGGAACACGTCGTGCGGCTTGTCCTTGAGCACGAACACCACGTCGGCCGGGATGTTGTTGGGGGTCTGGTCGCCCTCCTTGGGGAAGGTGATCTTGGTGCCCTCCTTCCAGCCTCGCTTCACCTCGATGGTCAGGATCTTGTCCTCGTTCCTCACCGTCTTCCCGTCGGGGCCCAGGCGTTTGTGGGAGATCTTCATCTTCTTGGTGCAGCCGCTGTAGATCTCCTCCAGCGACACGCGCAGGTCGTACAGCACCGGGGGGTCCTGCTTGCGGCCGTCGCCCCCCCGGCCCCGCGGGAAGCTGACGCTGCCGAAGCCCCCCACGTGGAAGGTGTTGAAGGCCTCGTCGCCGTCCTCATCGTCGCCGTTGCGCTGCACGAAGAAGGTGTCGAAGGGGTTGCGCCCGTCGAAGAACTCGGCGAACATGGCGTGCGGGTCGCCGCGGAACGTGTAGGTGAAGGTGGGGCCGTTGGAGCCCCCCGGCCCGGGGGTGGGGGCTCCCCCTTTCAGCCCTGGCGGGTTTGGGGGGGGGCGGGGAGGGAGCGGGGATGGGAACGGGATGGGAACGGGATGGGAACGGGGATGGGAACGGGGATGGGAACGGGGATGGGAGGGGGGAGGTCCCGGGAGGGGGATCGGGAAGGAGGGAGGGAGAGGGGACGGGAGGGAGCGGGGATGGAACGGGGGGAACCGGGGCAGCCGGGAGGAACCGGGACGGGAACGGGAACGGAGCGGGGGAAGGAGGGGCCCGAGGCTTGCGGGGCTGTCGCTGCCACCTCGGTGACACCGACCCTGTCCCTGCACAGTGTCACCGACCCTGTCCCTGCACGGTGACTGTGTCACCTCGGTGACACCGACCCTGTCCCTGCACGGTGACTGTGTCACCTCGGTGTCACCGACCCTGTCCCTGCACGGTGACACCACCGTGTCACCTCGGTGTCACCGACCCTGTCCCTGCACGGTGACACCACCGTGTCACCTCGGTGTCACCGACCCTGTCCCTGCACGGTGACTGTGTCACCTCGGTGTCACCGACCCTGTCCCTGCACGGTGACTGTGTCACCTCGGTGTCACCGACCCTGTCCCTGCATGGTGACCGTGTCACCTCGGTGTCACTGACCCTGTCACTGCACAGTGACCGTGTCACCTCGGTGTCACCGACCCTGTCACTGCACGGTGTCACCGACCCTGACCCTGCATGGTGACCGTGTCGCCTCGGTGTCACTGACCCTGTCCCTGCACAGTGACCGTGTCGCCTCGGTGTCACTGACCCTGTCCCTGCACAGTGACCGTGTCGCCTCGGTGTCACTGACCCTGTCCCTGCACAGTGACCGTGTCGCCTCGGTGTCACTGACCCTGTCCCTGCACAGTGACCGTGTCGCCTCGGTGTCCCCGACCCTGTCCCTGCACGGTGACATCGCCGGAGCCTCTGCCCGCCCCCAGGGGACACCGGGGGCAGCAGGGTGACAGCACAGCTGGGGACACGGGGGGACACGGGGGGACATGGAACATGGGGACAGGCAGGACCTGGGAACGGGGGGGGACATGGGGACACAGGACATGGGGACACAGGACATGGGACACGGGGACAGACAGGACATGGGGACACGGGGGGACATGGGGACACGGCCATTGGACACCTGGGGACAAGTGGCCAAGGGGACATGGGGACACAGAGAGGGACAGGCCCCCCCCAACGCCATTGTCCCTGTGACCAGCAGTCCCCATGGCCCCACAGTCCCTGTCCCAAAGTGTCCCCTGTGTGTCCCAAAGTGTCCCCAAGCCCTGCCACACCCCCCGGGCCCGTGGGGTCCGACCTGCCCCACCCCGGTCTGTGTCCCCACGGTGTCCCCACGGTGTCCCCACGGTGTCCCCAGCACCCTCCCGCCTGTCATGGCCGCCCAGCCCCCCGTGACCCCCAGGACACCCCCAAGCCCCGGGTGTCCCCTCATCCCCCGGGTGT